ACTTTCATTTATAACTGGTGCTCCTTTCGCGACTAACGTCCATTTTAATTGTGGAACTTGCGAGATCATTCGCCATCCGTCTAATCCTTGTGCCCAAACTTTTGTTTTGTATGTAATATGATTTGTAAGATACAATTCTTTTAAATCTTTCAAACTTATAGGACCTTTCCGCTGATCTCCGTCATTGTAATACCATTCTTTTTCCATAACTTGTTGTTGTTGTGGTCCTGCTTCTATTACATTAGTTTGTGTAGGTATCACCGCTCTAGATGTATGTAAATGAGCCAGAGTTAAGAGATCAACTAATGTGCGTACTCCGTTTTGATCCATTATATCTTTTACATTTCTTCTATGTAATATAAGTTTATTTATGAACATGACTAGTCTATCACGTTCCATTCTATCTGTACAACGTTCCAGCATTCCTACAATATATTTTGTATCCGAAAATGGACCAATATCTTCGTAGTATCGTTCATATACTATAGTCATTGCTTGCAAGCAAAGGCACTTCATTTCAACTTTTGTTGTTAGTATGAATCTATGGTACAAGTCGTTAAAAAATTCATATCTAAAACAAAAATAAAAAAATAAATATAATAATTTAAATAGAACAAAATATAATAATGCAAAGAAACAATTAATATTGCATTATACATACGATTTTCTTATCGGACTGTCTGGACTATCTTTTTCCAACAAAAGCCTCAAATAATAATCACCGATTTTCACTTCATCTGACAGGCACTGATACTGTACTTCAAATTCTCTATGATTCCAAGCAATTAAAGTTCCTCCTGCTAAATCTTTGTCAAAAGTGAACGCACGAATTTCATTTTCAAGCGCGGTTCTTAATTCCTCCCGTGTTTTATGATTCCAAATTAAATTTGGCAGTGAATGATCCTGATTGAATTTATAATAAAACAAATTCCAATTTGCTTCCGATTTAATTCTCTCTCTACGTTTTCTTAATACTATCGGACGTTCTTTGATTTTCTCTTTACGCTCGATTCCAATCCTGGCACCCCAGTGTTGAAGAGCATGCTCTACATGTTTCTCAACAACACGCATTTGACGTTCGATCGCAATCCATTGTGGGCTTTTCTTATTTTTCGATGCGTGATCTATAGCTATCTTTAAATTGTCACGATTGTTTAATCGTTCCTTTTCCAAAAATGAATCGGGTACTTTTTCATCGGAGTCTAAGTAATTTAATAAACCAACAGGCTGTATAAATGCATAATGAATACAAACTTAGATGCTTCCATTTTTGCAATTAAATAAAAATGATATTATAAGCTCAATCAATAATGCTAATTTACCATAATTCTTTTTAACAGTCCCATAGCTGTAGGATGTCCTGTAACCCAAAGTCCTACAAGATGTCTACACAATTGCCTATGTGTTAACAATCTACCATCAGTACCAACAGTAAAAAGACTATTTAATAAATGTCTTGGTAAAGCTCCTTCTGCAAGAGCAAGCTCTTGCATTTTTGCAGCAACTTCTGGTGCTCCTTCTTCGATGATCGCTCTCATTATTAATCCAGCACCTTTAACAATAGCTAGCGATGGATGTTGAAATAATTTAAAAAGTGATCTTCCTCTTGCGGCGACCATTTCTAGAAGATTATCAAAGTGTTTTCCATCAGTCGTTTCACTGTATGGTACACACAGAGCAAAAGTTAAAAGATCAAGCATGGCAGAAACTACCAGCGCACCTGTACCACGATTCTGAAATATTTATGGAGATAATGTTAATATTACAGACAGAACAATAATTACTATTGCTAAGGAAATGATGATAATATTTGTATTTTCACACTTACTACATGGTTAACCCACATATCAAGTAAATTTTCCAAGAATTTATTACTACTGAGAAGGCTACTTTTATTTAACTGTTCTTGTCTTAAATCACAATCATCATGCATTGGTTGCATAAGAGCACAAATACAATCTATAGCAGCTTGTGTTACACCATAATCTTGTCTCTTTAAAGCTTTCACAACTTTATGTCCAATAGCTTCCCTAAATCCAAGAAGAGTAGTAAATGCAGTAAAACCAATTTTGCTAGCAACCAGTCTCCTTAAAGCATGAAATTGTGCTTCTATTTCACTGTTTGTTTCTAATTCTTTATTGACCAATGCATTTAAAGCACCAAGAATAATTTTATCTTTATTTTCAGTAAAAAGACCCTGTAAGTAGTTATTCATCAAATGGTAAATTTGAAGTTGTAATGACGTTACAGTCCATTCAAGCGGTACAATACCCTGGACAAAAAAAGAAAATATCTATTCAGTTTGTTATGTGATCTACTCATTACCATAAACGAATATATAAATATATCTATTATCACAAAATAAACATAAATTAAATTTAGTTTTGAAAAGTCTAATTATAAATAAGAAAACAATAAAAAATACGAAATATTAGAAACAACATTTTTATATTTATTCAATTTATTCCAGTCTGTGTAGATAATTCTGTGTCATATATACATTTTAATAAAATTTAATATAACTTAATAAACAATCACCGCTTTAATGCACTGTATAATATTTTGTTTTATACTTGGTAATATTGAAATTTAATATCATATATACTTATATATACAATATTAAATATATTGAATATGTCTTACATCTTGTGTAACAGAGTAATTAAGACCACTATAGGGAATGTTTGCATTAAATCTTTCCAAAATTTCAGCAAAAGTACGTCCACTTGGTGGCTGCTGTAGAAACTTAACATGTGATATTTCAACTTCTTCATCAACAGGTAAATTAAGAGGACCAAGCCTTTTCCCCCTAGGTACCGGATACATTTTGACATGAACATCTCTATTACCAGATGCTCTAACTCCATCCAATAAGGAAGCTAACAAAGAATCTCTATCTGTTGCCGTATAACTGCGAGTTTGACCATTAAGATACTGTATAGTAAATAATTGTGGATTTTCATTGTCACGAATCAACGCAAAAATATCTGACAGAGGTCTAAGAGTGCAAATATTATATGTTTGAGGATCTCTTTCCAGCAAACAAGTATCAGAGAGACAAAGAGTTCTTCTTTGAGGATCTATATGCCTAGACGAATATTTGTGAACAGTAAATTCTGATACACTTGTTATATGTTCATCACCACTAAATTTACCCAATCTCTGAGCAATAAAATCATCTAATTTGATTGGTTCTTTCAAAACTTTTATGTTGATACCTAAATTGTTCATAGCTGATTCCAGCAGCTTTTTTTTAATTTCTTCCATGTGTTGGGAGGCAAACAGGTGTAAACGTCCAAATCCACCACATACAATTACAAATCCATTAGGATAATCTTTCATTGTAAGAATTCCTTCAAAATCTTTATAATAATAACTGGCTAATACCATATTGGTTGCTGGATCTAATTGGTCAAGACTATATGGTGTTACTTCTAATACAACAGGTAATCTTGTATCGGACCAATGATGTTTATAAGCTTGATATCTCTAGAAAAAATAAAGATATTAATTTAATAGATAAAATACACACATTAAACTATTATGAAATCTAATCACATTTTATTTAATTACAAGTATTTTATTATTTATTATTAATAGGATGATTTGATAAAAGTATTGAATTAGTACTAACACTATATAGATTGATATATGACAGAACAGTATTGATATAAAAAATGTTAGTATCGGTGGAATTGTATAGATAACTTCAAATAAATAGCTATTGATACATTACTGGTTATATATTGACCATATTGTAATGATAACATATATGTTTATCATATTAACCATATGGCTAAGATGATAAGAAATTTGATTGAACTTCAACAGTATTATATAAAAAGTTTGCAAACTTACCAAAATTTCTTTAGGTTTCTCAGCAAATTGGTTTCTATATTTCAAAGCTTCAGTTAATAAATGAGCTCTGTATTCTGAACTAAATTTCATATTGTCAACTTTTCGTTCTTTGCGCATTGTTATACTAAATTCATGTACACCTAATTGATTTCTATTTGTTGGTTGGACACTTATAAAATCTGAGTATTCCCATTTGTTTGTGACCTCCAATGTGGTAGGATTATATGTTGTTATACCCATGGATCCAATTGAAAAAATACGTTTGTATCTGTTGTGTAATCATTAAATAAGATTTCTAATATTTATTTGAAATGACAATATATAACATAGCAATAGATTAACAAGTAATATATGTCATATAAAGATATATTAAGCTTATAAAAATTATGATGTTGAATGTCAGAATATGTTAAAAATATAACAATATTATAACATTAATACATATGTTTATTAAAATCTTTTCACCGAAAGATATAAATGTACGAATGGTACTTATTTAAATACTCTTCTTTACATTATTATATTCTAAATAATCCACTGATATTAGTTTCTTAGTTTTATTTGAAATGCATGCAAAAAACACATGTACACTTTACAATGGCAATTCATCTTTTCATAATTAATTCACAATAGTTTAAATCGTGTGTGATTATCTCATTATTTATTGTATGTACATTGTTATCCACTAAAACGGAAAGTTCCTGACAAAACAATAAGAACGAGAAACGCGCACTTACTTTCCTTTCCACGAGTGTTTGGTGACCAAAAAACATGCCACATCTTGATTATCCTTTATCGGCATCATTGTAACATTTCCTGGCAATACGACGTGCGTGTTGTTTTAAATAATATTTTGGCAAAACACTGGTTACTGTTTGTAAAAGATGCGTAGCGTAGAAGGGACATTCGCATACGAATTGAGAAGGAATCACAGGAGAGTCATTTTCAAAATGACAGACACAAGAAACGCAAAATAAATTTGTTGTCGTGTGCACAATATTTATGTTTCACGCGCTAGCGAATGATATTTAGGCACTATTTGATCGCGCTTCAGCCGACTAATGTCATTTTCAACGGCTCTATTGGACTGGGAGCGGCCATGATGCTCGGGGGTGTTAACAAACAGCTGTTTCCAGATGGCAGAATGATCGCGTTAGGAAACTTCATTTATTTATATTGCGTGTAATTTCGCGGTTTTTAACGTTATGTTAATTTACTTTCATTGAAGAAGTTTCTTGCATTTGCCTTCGTAAAGAAAGGGATACGTAACGTAAAGCCTGCGCGATAGGTAGAGAATTATAGTGTCTTATATAATTATACAAATAAAACTTTAAATTGATCTTTGTTGACATAACCAAATTAGCAATGTCAATTGTAAATTTGTTTATAGATATGTTTATTATATCGTTAGATTGGAATTGAAAAAGAAACACGCTATAATCCATTCATTTCGTTTTGATGACTGGAAACATTGTACATGATTTTGTTAAAATATAATTCAATTTGAATTGCTCTTATTTCTAAACATAACACTTTTGTTCTGTACTATTTGTATCAGTGAGTTAAATTTTTTTATATTATCTGGTATGAAGGTTATATCAACGTATTATATACGTGTAATAATTGTTTACAAATTGTTAGATAACGACAAAATTCATTTCTGTACTTTTTATTATTTATGTGTTTTACTATTTATTTGTTTAAAGTACAAAATTAAATAAAATTTTACAATAAATTATTATTACACGTTATCTTTATTTAACGAAGATTTAAGAATTTAAATAATCATTATTAATATCATTTCATTAATTACAGAGTATAAAGTAAACAAGATGATAAAGAATGATATATTTAGCGAGAGTGACGAAGGAGAAATAAAATCAGACTTCGAAGAGGATTTTCAAGATGAATTACAAAATTTTCCTCATGTTTTAAGATTCATTCAAAGAATGCGCGATCATATTAAAAAACAAAACAAAAAAATTACCAAATTAAGAAATAAACTGCACGAACATGTGAGAGTTGCATTTCTTAAATATTGTTATATTATTTCTTATGTTTTATACTTTTATTTGTTTATAGAAAAGTCAAAAATTAATGCAAAAGAAAGCGTTAATTGACTATGGAACTCAAACGAATCCTTTGGAATATGAAAAGGAGTCGTGCCAAGATTGGAATGTTAACAACGATAAAACAACATCTAGTATTATACAGCAAGTTAAAGAAGTAGCTGAGTCTGCTTTGTTGCAAACTGGTTTTGTTTACGAAGAAACTTCTGGTTTATATTATGATTACAATAGTGGATATTATTATGACGCAGTGAGTATTTATGTAATAACTATTAAACTATTAAATTTTCATTAATAGCTTTTACATGTTACATAAAAAAAAATCTGTGTTTCAGAAACAAGGTTTATATTATGATGGTAATACAGGTACATATTATTATTATGATGAAGCTAGTGGAACATATCAGTTCCATAGTCAAGTATCTGTGAATGAAGCAGCTGTACATGTGCAAAGCAAGAAGGACCAGAAGACTAGAAAGTCAATTAAGGTTGGAATTTAAATTATTGTTATGTAACCTACTTTTGAAGAAAATCGACCATACAAGTAATTTCTATTTCAGGTTTCAGATGACATACATGAATTAATAAGTGGCCTTTCAAACATATCAATTGAAAAATACAGGCGCCAAGCACTAGGTAATTATCCTATGCTCTTAATATGCACACATGTCTCTCTTGTAGGATGAGGGGAAAAAACGCAAACTTGCAAAAAGAGAAGAACAATCGGAAGATGAACTTGAGGAGGGTGAATGTTCAAGCAATGACAGTGACAGCAATTCTAGTGACGTTACTCCAGAATTATATACTAGTAATGACAGTGACCATGAAGAAGATCAAGGTTTATTTTTAATTATTTATTTAATTATAACTTTATAACCTCATCTGTATAAAAGATATTTTATTGACTAACTTTTACATTTAATTTAACATTTGATTTAACATTGTATAACTTTTAGATTTCTTTTTTTTTAATTACATATATGACTCGTCATATTTTAGTTATGTAGATTAATTATAATGATGTAATTAATGTTATAAATATGCATTTGCAAATGATGGGAATATTTTATGATTGGAAGTATATTGATTAATTTTTCGTTGTAACAGTTTAATTTTTTTTTTCAGATTTAGCAAAAACTTATCCGCCGTGCATGAGAATTATAGTTAAAGAAACTAACTTACCAAAATTAAAAATTGGGAGCCTTTTTGTTGTTGCATACACCGGTGGTTCAATTGGTCGAGAAGGTGACCATTCTGTAGTTATACCAGATATAAATATCAGTAAGGTAAGTTAAAAATAGGAATTTGTTTTAAAAGACATTAAATGAAACATTTCCGTGTTTCAGCATCATGCTCGCATTTTATTTAATGAAGATAAAAAAATATACGAGATTACTGATATGGGATCAAGAAATGGCACGTTCTTGAATGGTAAAAGATTATCTGTGGCTAAGCAAGAATCTGAATCATATGAAATTTCACATGGTTCGATCGTACAAGTTGGTACTACGAAATTGTTATGTCACATTCACAATGGAAATGAAACCTGTGGTCATTGTGAGCCGGGACTTGTTCAACAAAACAATAACGCGGAAGAGAACAAAAGTTCTAAAAAGGAACAACATAAACAAGAATTAAGACGGCTGAAGCACAAGTTTGGGGTAGAAAAAGATAATGTTGCAAGTGCTAGTCAATTAGCATCAGGGTATCAAGATAGAGCACAAAATCGAAGACAGTGCATTGGTTCTTTGAATCATCATGCTAAAACACAACAAAGTTCAATGGACACGTAAGTAACTCATTTGTTATATTAAACTTTGAAAGCCAATTTAGAGCCATTTTATATTATTTTATTTTATTTTCTTAATTCCGTTTTTGAAACTTAATTCTGTTCTGTATTATTCTGCAAATAAGGAAGTTCGTTTTCTTCCATATTGCGTTTTAATTCACATGTGTTTATTACGTGTATTTACAGATCAATAACAAAGGATAATAGAGGATTTAAGTTGTTATCAAAAATGGGCTGGTCCGAGGGACAATCCTTAGGAAAAGAAGGAGGTGGGCCAACTGAACCGGTAAGTCTTAATTCATATATTTCTGTTTATCTCAACAAATTTATTATTATATCATTTTATATTGGATTTTATTCGAATTAATATATCACTTATGGCATACGAATAATATAATTATGTTTCATACGGAAAGCGTTGATGTTGAAATTTATGACTATTTTAAACAGTTCAACTATTTTGTCGGTTTATCGCATTATATATTAACATTTTTGAGAATTTTTTCTAAAGAAAAAGAAATTTTTAAATTTGGATAATATAGTTTACATATTTATAATTATAGTACAATTTTTTTTAATTATTCACACATGGATATAATTAGTTAATTGGAACAAATATTTTATAATTGAAACATTCAATCTCGACAATTAACTTTTAATTAAATTGAGTTTGCTCTTCTACTATATACATGCTTCATATTCTTCAAAAATTAATATCTAATAACAATAAATCGGATACAACAAGATAGAATCTAAATAAGATAGACTCTGTCGATTTTTACTATTTTCTCATACTTCTTCCTCTTTATAAACTCTAAAAACCAAAATCATGTATAAAATTAAAAAGCATATTCTTAGTGCAACTTGCTTGATGCTTTTCTACCCAAACAATTCAAAAATCCTTAAAATTCTTTCTAACATGAAGTATGTGTCAATCAAAAGACTGACATGACTCTCGTAATATGTTCTAAAGTATCCGCGCCAAATGTCTCGTCTGCATAGCTCTTAGAAATGGCCTTCCAGACGCCAGATGCTGACGGTATGTAAACGGTGGTGTCGACGGAAAACGTCGTTCTCCGCGTGCATATTAGCGTGGCCGCGATGCCGATGACGTCAATCGGCAATTGCGGGATGTTTCTCGTTTCACCTTCCTCCTCCGGTGCGTAACATCGGTCAGACCTAGTGTAGCACGTGTGTCCAATGCAAAAGGTGCATAGAAACGTTGGCTGGCTGAGCCACTCATTAGTCGAATGGTCGCGTCACTGCAATCCGGCCTCGTTCGCCTTTTTCAGGCGACGTACTAAAAACTACCGGCTGCTGTTGCTGTTGTTCACTCTTTGCGTGCCTTCTCTCTTCCTTCCGTCTGCTTCCACTACCGCCACCGTCACCACCCTCTGACTGACCCGTCCGATACACCGTATCACACTGACACACGTGCATCGCATATACATTTAATACAGACGCGGTGGATAGCGTGTGCAAAAGCCAGACAGCAAGCTGGATCTGGCTGCTGGTGATGCTGCTTACTCGTCCGGCCGCATCGCATTTCGACGGCGACGAAACGAGCGCCGACGGCACGAGCAGAGCATTCGTATGATAACGAGCGTAACTCTGCGAGACATGAAACGGAATAGTAGAGGGGATCGTCACGAGGGGCAGAGACGAAAACGGGAGCGACAGAAGAGGTGTCCCCGGGTAATGAATGCAAATGTATTGAAATCCAAATCATTATTTTGTCTAGACGCATCGTATGCTCTATTGCACACTCTCAGCTTAAGGAAGAGCTGGAATGGCAGAGGGGGAGGGGGAAGGGGAGCACATAGCGCGTTCCTCTATGGGGGAGGGGAGGGGGGGGGGGTGAATTATATTATAAGGGAGAAAGGTAACTGAGAAGGATGGAAGCCGTTGTTTTCTCTCGTCTCTGTGTACCTTGACGCGCGTCTGCTAAATTTGCTTGTACACCTTTATCCCCGTGATGTCCGACAACCTCTGGTAAATTTATCCGTGTGACGGTCTTCCGTCTCGTTGCAATCCTCGTGCTTTCTCCCTTAAAACAACGTTTGACTTTTGTTACTGTCGCGTGATCCCATGGTACGTATGTACTTGTGTAGAGATGGAGAAGAGAGTCGGTGCTTCTTCCTGCGTTAACGAGTGTTAAATATAATTAATATATTTACACGCGTCAGCTGTTACGCAACTTTACAGATGGTAAAATGCACGTGTTTCACTAAGGTTGCGGAAAAGGAAGTCGATTCGAGATACGATAGTCTGTGGAATTTTCTTCTTTTCGAATTACTGTAATTTCTTTGCAAGTAGAAATGGTACGGTTTCGAACGTACATGCGTTACGTGATTCAATCGTATACGTATGGTTAGCTTTCAAATGATTAAAGATACGTTAGGATCGCGTGATTTTAAGGGAGAAATATGATTTACAGCTTTACAATTTGGAATTTTTATTACGGTATATCTCTTAGATATGAGATCGAATGATTTATTTGTGCATGTACATTTCATTGCGCGTTTCACAAACGCACTTAATAATAATATAATAATAAGCTGTTTCATTATTGAATTTTTCAATTAATAAATGGTTATTAATGGAACGAAATTATATTAATTGCCTGTACAGTACATCGAATATTCGTAATAACTGTGGTATAAATCATAAAATTTTTATACTCTTTTATAATCCGCTGACAAACATTTATAATCTTTTTCTCTTCGAAAAGGAATTTATTATAAAATTAATCAAATTTCTGGTCGATCTTATTCCAAATATTTTCATTTAAAGTGCAATTATGCTTCTTAATATAATAGTATACTTATTATATTTACTTTGACAAAGCAGATATTATTTACGAGTGAAATAAAATTCGACATAAAATCTAAATCAAATTCGCGACTGCATAACATTCGTGGCCACTTTACATCACAACCGTGTTACAATTTTACATCGATCACCACCCCCGTTTTTACGTGTGTCCATTTCTGTTCTCTTTGTCGAATCTGCATGACCTACATCGTAAACTGGAAACACGTTCATCGTCGTAGAAAGGACTGCAAAAGGTAGAAGGAGGAGAGACAGATGGTGACGGTCTTGGAGAGTGAATCCCTTCGAGAATCCGTAAACCAGACATTGTAAAGCTCTCGAATAGCGATTGCCAATAAATCACAAGCATACGATAAAGTGTAAAATTGTCCCGTGCTATGAAAGTGCCGTTAACAGTGTGTAGGCGGGTGCGTGTTCTATCTGGTTGAATGAAATCTCGGCAGGTTCGTTTATTTGAGTGCTTTCGCTCAGGGCACAAGATGAAGCGAGAACTTTTTTTCTTTTTTATTATTGGTTCGCGTAGTAAAGGATCAGAGTAGAAGATTCTCGATCCCTAACAAGACGCTGAAGATAACGAGACAATGCAAGTTTCATTTGCGTGCTTCTTCGACGTGGAAATCAATAACCTTTTGTATGTATATTTTAAAGATGCTTCAAGTTTGTATCGTTTAAACGATGGATATTTATGAATAATTAAAAAAAAAGAAGAACGTGGTAGAAAATTACTTTACCATTAAATATTGTAGAAAATATTGGATATTTTTGCATATTGTACTTCAAAACATATCGAGTGGGAGTTTACAAATTTATTTTATCATCGTAGATCAACAACTCAAGTTTAGTATATTTCTCAAACAACGTAGACAATTTCAGCGAATTCTATTGTTTCGAACATTTAATCTTCTTTATTATACCCTGTCGTTTATAAATAATGGAGTGAGCTTACAATTTACTCGGGTCTGTAAAGTTGAGCCGATTCGTAACGTCGATCGTTAAACAATTGCAATTGAAACGGGATCGGTGCAACGCGTTACAATTCGCTGCCGCCATGTGAGGCTGCCTTAAAGTGCATCCGGAAACTGCAACAATTTCATTTTATGGACTTTCACGTATACCGGCTGTTGCGAGCTATTTCACGGGTTACAGCGTGAACATCCACGATAGTGCCTTTTACGATTTACATTCATTTCCATATTGCATCTTCTTGCCCTTTACAGTACCGCGAGGAAAAACCTGATTGATTAATGACGTAATAAATAATCCAGCGTAGTCTCGCGAGGCAATGAGGCTTTCGTGGTGCTTCCATAAAATCTTCCATTGGAATAGCTCTTCTACGATCTCTCTTTGAGCTCTTCAAAAAGTTTCGAATCGAGCTCTATTGCCGAGATCTTTACATTTCGTAGCTCTCTGACTTCTATATTGGACACTCGTATATTTTTCTTTTAAATATTCCAGTGTTAAACTGTTTCAATCGTGATATTCAATTGTACCATCTGCTTACATTTTTTTTTGTTGCAAATCGTACGTTAATCACGTACTTGGCCAACGAAAGAGTTGATCATTTTCGTTTTCGAGAGTCTCGGTACATCCTCCCTTCGTCTGTTCCCTTCGTCTGCCGTTTCTCCGATTCGCTTTCGACTTTCGTCTTTCCCCGGGACGATCGGCGGGCGCGTCCGATCTGAGAGTGTTTTGATTCGCGCCAGATCCAGCAGTAAGGAGAAAAAAAAAGAAAAGAGAGAGAGAGAGAGAGAGAGAGAGAGCCGGATAAAAGTGAATCGTAGGTCTTGACTCGCGACTCTCCCGGTCTCCTGTTTGTCCGCCAAAACCTGTTGCTGGCGTCCTCCTCCTGCTCGTTCCACTGCCTTGTGCGCACCTTCTATTCATCCACCGGCCCCTTTTTCTTCTGGCGAAAGCAAAAATAGTGGTAAGAGAAGAAAAAGGCGCACAAGGGGGCAGAGTGCAGCGAGGCTCGCGTATCGAACGAAGATGGAAAGATCGGGGCCAGGAGAAAAGGAGCGACAGGGAGCAGGAGGAGCCAAGATAGAGGAAGAAAGAGAAAAGAAGAGAGAGGGTGAGAGGGAGAAGGTTCTGAGCGGAAGTTGTACACCAAGTGTACGTGTGCAGTTCTGCCGCAGGTGGTACGACGGAACGCAAGGTCGTTTCGATATTATGTAATGCAGAGAGGCAAGAGAGTGCAAGGATACGGCGAGGATCAGCTCTCGACCTCCCTCGGTTGCCCCGGAGGGGCCCCATTGTTTTTGGAATTCGGGACAACGTTGGGAGATCATCGTCGAAAACTGAGAAAAAAACCTTTCCTCACGGCTATGTCCGTGCGTTTCATCTTCTCTTGCGTTTTCCTTTTGCCTTCTCCGATCCGTGAAGCTTTGATTTTAATGGAGATGGTTGGAAAGATCTTTTCGTCCGGCTCAAGAATTATAAATACGTAATGAAAAA